TATTAAATTTTTTTAAAAACATAACAAATTTTACACAAAATCATCAAATTACAGCGGCAAGATGATTCAATCTGCACTGAAGGCGAAAACGAAAACTGCTTGTCGAACGACTGTTTCTGATTTTGTGAAGTATAACCGGTAAAACCAACGTACTGCACGTGACCCAAATGGCGAACAGCCATTGGACCAAAGCCTTTAGCCGTGCTCTTATACGTCAATTATAGACCTGAGAACATATACCGGTATATGGTCTTTGAACTAATGAAAACATTAATGTATACATCAAAGATACTCTATCTGTTCACGTCATCTATGGAAACGAGAGCTTTGCGTTTCCAGGGACTATATTTATAAGCATTCTTATGAATACCGCCCCAGTGTCTACACAACCTAGAAAGGGCACACCTTTCTCACAATGCATTTCGCTGCATATCAAGTTGTCAAGAAAACTAGACACTGTCATGCTCAGCCTCGTATTGGTGTATTTCAATATGAGGTTCTGTAGACAGGAACAGACCTTCACGATGTCTCACCTGAAATCACGTATGAACGCGGTTGCGAAATGTGAACCACGATCGTTACTTAACTGGACATACTTGGAACTTTAACCCCGTGCTTGTGGGACTGACAACGACATGTGGTACGTGGATGTTATATCCGTGAGTTTTGTAAAAAATAATTACGTTTCTAAATCGTAAGATACAAAATAACACATTTCGTGGCCATCATCGTTGTCACAGGTGTTGTTTTGGGGTTTTATATTTTTATTAAGATAACTGAACAACTGTTTTTTTTATGTACGATATGTTCATTTCAGAGACTAGATTTTAGTCTACCTGTTTCAGTTTGTTTAAGAATAGGTGCCCTTAATCTTAGCAGTTCGGAATACGCCTCTCCTGTGTAGCTTCGTGCACACGAAGAAGACCTTTTTATTATGTGGGTAAAGAAGGTCAACCACTTGTGCGTATAATACCTTCACCAAAAATTTAACGCATGAGGAGAAAAATTCAATAGGCTTTGGCGATGTATTGCTAACTGCAAACCAGGATTCTCTGCATGACTCGTTTGCCCCAAGCGTATATTACCTTTGTGTTTTCTGTTCTCATTTACTATTAATCATTTATTATTTAACGCACATTTCGTTTGCTCCAAGCGTATATAAACTCTTTTTATACTTTATATTAATTCTTCATTATTTAACGCACATTTGTTTATATGTCACATCACGTGACAGGGCACTTAATTAAATAAAAAAGACGCCCTGTTCTGATGTATATACCTCTATTAGTATTACATTGGACTATTGGTAACCAACAAATTTGTGGTGGCACGTGGACCTGCCTTGTACGCCAATAGTCGCCTCTTACGGCCAGTAATGGCGTGCTGTGGACACGACACATTCTACCCAGGTTCCCCAGGGGGAAAACACACATGTAACGGCAGGCTTTAAGGGTCATGTTGTGAAGTAATTGTGCTTCATATAAAGTGGACCCGTGAGTGAGTGAGTGAGGTTTTACGCCGCTTTTAGCAATATTCCAGCAATATCACGGCGGGGACACCAGAAATGGGCTTCACACATTGTACCCATGTCGGGAATCGAACCCGGGTTTTCGGCGTGACGAGCGAACGCTTTAACCACTAGGCTACCCGACCGCCCAGTGGACCCGTGAAGATCCGGGGTAGAATAGGTCTTAAGAAACCCATGCTTGCCGTAAAAGGCGACACAGCATAGTCGCCATTTACGGCAAGCATGGGTTGCTGAGTGAGTGAGTGAGTGAGTATGGTTTTACGCCGCTTTTAGCAATATTCCAGCAATATCACGGCGGGGGACACCAGAAATGGGCTTCACAAATTGTACCCATGTCGGGAATCGAACCCGGGTCTTCGGCGTGACGAGCGAACGCTTTAACCACTAGGCTACCCGACCGCCCCCATGGGTTGCTGAAGACCTTTTCTAATCCGGATTTTCACGGGTCTTGGCTCCTGAGAATTTCTAGGGCTTCGGTTCTGCCCCACTCTGAAGCACATGTAGCTTGACGCAGCAGCGAATGGATGAGATGGCAATGTGGTTGTTACCCTTCTAGCGCCTACTATACTCCCCAGGGAGCTGAGAATGATTCTTGAGGACAAACTGATCCAGTGACCGGGGAAATAATAGCGCTTTGAGCATGCCCCTGGGGTGTGTTGAAATATGCGCAATATGAATAGATTATAATAATAATAATAATAATAATAATAATAATAATAAAATATAAATAAAATAATAATAATAATAATAATAATAATTATTATCATTATTATTATTACATAACAAACCGGTTGTTAGTGTGTGGGAGCTGCATCAGCACAATCGTCGTTCTCCGTGGTCTGGCGTTGTTTCAGAATCCGTCTTTAAGGTCGCGGTACTTCGTTTTGTTGTCAGTGGCTTTTCCCCGGCTGCGACTACATCGTTTTTTTGTCTTTGCGGTCATCTGAAGCAATTCGGGATTTTCGTAAGCTCACATACATGTACGTTTGGTGGCCTTTCCTACTAGTTCACTCATAAACTCGACGAAAAGTGTCCACTCATGAACTTAATCAAACGCGTTCGTCATAGCTGATGATGACACAAACACGGGAAAAACTTCAATAGAAAGAGTGAAAAGATCATGAATGGTCTGCTTCGTGTGAAGATGTGAACCTTCCCGACACTGAAGGCGTTGTATTCCTGAAAGTACCCAAGCCTAAGTGTACCCCGGAGCGTTAAAGCGGCAATTGTTGGACATACCCGGATAATTAAATATTTGGCGACTTATCACGGGGTCCCACGTTGGCAGTTTCTTTGACATGCCTAGAGTAATCCGTGTATTGTGATGAGCAAGTGCTTCTCTGATGTACCGACTATAGTCTGTATGACATACTGTGTCCACAACGGTATATTATGTACAGACGATGTACAGCTTGCTGTGCGTAAAGAATGGTATTCTATGGGGTGTATATGTTTTTAAAATTTTAATTCAATGTTAGAATCTGGTACCATCTAAAAACATAACACGAGACCATCAGCGATTTACCTAGTTTCTACGCCCTAAACACCATTGACGTCTGGCCAAATTGTGTCGATTTGTTAACGGCTGTACAACAGGTGGTCGCCGCGCATGCAGTCAATATCTAATCGTTTGCCCAGCCACTTGAAATCTTGTGGCCTGCTACAAGTGAACAGCAATTTCCAACAAAGTCTGCAAAATCTCAGACTGAGACACATTGAACATTTGGTTACCTATCGCTTAGTCCTACCAGTTTAAAGCATGCCACTAGCCCTCAGGCGTTCATCACGTTCTAGAAGACGCATTCCCAACATGATTTCAAACGCTGCACCGTAAGTAGTTTAAAAGCGCTTACGGGTTACTGTTTGCGGATAATGAAACTCAACAATGCTGATGGTTTAGGGCGATTTTACGACCTTTCACTGAAGTGTCAAAATCAAGAATGACCCCTTTCCAATGTGCCGGGTGTATTGGGGCGTTAGGACCTTTCTGTTGACGACCTATCGTAATACCTTGTCATGTGGCCTAGTGTTACAAAACCCCAGGGCACGTAATACTAAAGGTTAATTCATGGCTATTCGTCTTAAGTCCGGGACAAGCCTACTAGCGTCTTACATGTTGTTGATAGGGCTGGGTGCGAAGAATGACACCCAGACTATCATTCGTCACCACTTGCCCGTCTCTGAACGTGCAAGAAGACTCGTCTCCTAATCAATCAACGTTTAGTGCGAATGTACCATAAACCAAGTGAAATGTGTGTATTGCTATTAATTACTTTGGTCAAATAGGTTTCCTTAATAGCTTTTGCTTATAGGTATATTTGTATGTAGATTATGCCAAAGTTACAGTCACAAATCTTTCACAATACTGAAGAGCAAGTGTCTGTAGTTGGCAACAGTGTTTGTTTGTTTGTTTGTTTGTTTGTTGTATTTCAAGCATAGTCGCCTTTTACGGCAAGCATGGGTTGCAGAAGAGCTACTCTACCCCGGATCTTCACGGTTCGAGTCGCTATGCATTCAGCTTGACCCGGAGTGACTCGAGAGGCCATGATTGACACATTACATGCGCGGACGTTACGTTATGTCACATTCATTAAAATAATTCTGTCAGGGTTGTGGCGATGACGACGATGAAGATAACCAATTACTAGTTGGTCGCGTATTTAACAACATAATGACTGACACAGTCCTCATGATCATTATAGCAAAGGAAAGGGTCATGCTTGAGATTGCTTCATGGTAGCTGGTATGTGCGTGGCCCAGGGCGGGTGTTTCGGAATGTTCGTCATAATGCACGTTGGCCATTGACCTTCACTCGGGCGCCGTGTATTCCTTGACTAATCGCAGAATACTGGGGCAACCTTTCTCAAACCTAGCTCTGAACTCTCCGACATATATAACTTGTCAGAACCATCGCCAACATCTTAATACTACGATTACCTGCCTAAATATACACCTGTGTAAACCAACAACTTGTCAAAACCGTAACGACATCTAAATACTCCGGCTACCTGTCAAAACAACTTGTATAAACCGTTACCGACATCTTAATACTCCGACATTCTGCCTAAAAATACACGCGTGTAAATCAACAAATTGTATAAACCCTTAACGAAATCTTAATACCCCGAAACCCTGCCTAAGCCAACACTCGTGTAACCTACAACTTGTATAAGCCGTTACCGTCATGTTAGTACTCCGACTACCTGCCTAAACCAACACCCGTGTAAACCAACAACTTGTATAAACCGTAACCGACAACTTAATACTCCGAGTACCTGTCTAAACCAAAACCCGTGTAAACCAACAACTTGTATGAACCGTTACCGCCAACTTAATACTCCGAGTACCTGTCTAAACCAACACCCGTGTAAACAAACAACTTGTATATACCGTTACCGACATCCTAATACTTCGGCTACCTGTCAAAACCAACAACCGCGTACATCAGCAACTTGAATAAACCAGCAACTTGTCAAAGCCGTTACCGACATCTTACTACCCCGACTAACTGTCTTAACCAAAACCCGTGTAAACCAACAACTTGTATATACCGTAACCGACTTCTTAATACTTCGACTTCCAGTCAAAACCAACAACCGCGTACATCAGAAACTTGAATAAAGCGTTGACAACATCCTAATGCTCAATCATTTCTAATAAATCCAGTCATAATTTAATTTACCTTACTAATTATCATTTACCAACGGCATTATCACATTATCATACACAATATCCTCAAAAATATACAAACCATAATTAGTTCGACCTGCTTTTTTTTAAGGTGAAATAAATCACGACAGTGCGTTATCACACACGCAAACGATTTACTCTCTGGCAACAAATTCCTCTTAAATCCTCGAGTATTGACCAGATGACTCTGAACTTCCACCACATGCTTTCGTCATCCATTAAACAAATATACCACACGCCCACTTGATAAACATAAAACAACGACCTGAACGTTAAGCTCAATGACCTCAAAAAAAAAAATAACACAAAAAAATTCGCACGGAAGACTGTTAATAGGAATGTGTCGTGTATGATATTTGTCAAACATGTAATTGATGGTGATATGCAAACTTTAAGGTTGAAAGTGTAGGATTGCTCCCTCTGACCGAGATGTGCCGAGTGTCGGTCACGTGTCACGAGCGTAATGCTCGTCGCATTAACTGGCCGGCAGAAGGAAGTTGGAGTGAGACAAGGCTCCGAGCTGAGCCTACGATCGTTGTTGAAATATGAGCCCTGGAGTCACGTGAGTACAGCCTATAAGTAACTTTTCAACGCTTTCATTTAAAAAATTATAACAACATCAAATGTAGACTTAAGGCGCTGATGTAAGATCTATTGAACAAGCGATGTTCTGATATATGAATATGTGTAAGTTTATGACCAACGAGTATTTCTTAGATATGGGTAAAGACAGTCGACGTATGGCAAGAATTTCATCTTGGGCCACGTACCTGCTCATAGTTAGACTTTTCCCCGAATGATCAGCTTTTCCCTTTTTTTATCCATATTTATATAATCACGAGTAATGGAGACAGCATGATATCTAGCGCCTCTAAACATGCATTTTATTTGATTGATGACTTAACATTTTGTGAGGACCCACAACATAATTTCTTTCAAAGTATTTAGCTTGTCCAGTAAGCGCATTTAAATTTCTTTAAAAAAAATATTTTTTCGAAATGTTCCGGAAATAATATTTACAAAAAAAACCCAGATGTGTTATTCTTAAAAACTGATCAAATCGACGTTAAACCTGCCTCATTCGCTTATGTTACACACTAAATTCGAGACAACTTAAATTCCGATTAGTTATGTATCCTAATAAGACGCCCATGGCCACCGTCTTTAAGGACGTGTCGCTGGTTGTGACAACAAATCTGTTGAAGCTCGGCAAACAAACACCTGCACACATACCTTGCTCTATACGTGACCACTCGTGTCATTCCGGGACATGTCGAACGACCTTCTTGCAGTTATCGCAGTAGTAGTATGAATAGTTGTGGTAGCAGCAGCGGCCGTAGAAGTTTGTTTATTTGTTTGTTATTTAACACCACACTCAGAAATATGCCAGCTATATGACGACAGTCTGTAAATAATCGAATCTGGTCGAGACAATCCAGTAATTGATATCATGAGCATCGATGGGATACGATGACATGCATCAACCAAGTCAGCGAGCCTGACCGCCCGATCCCCTTAGTCACCTCTTACGACAAGCAAAGACGTATTTTACGGCAAGTATGGGTTGCTGAAGAACTCTTATAACGTGGATCTTCACGGGACCACAAGCGGCAGTATTTTTGTAAAAAGATTCTTGTCATATAACTGGAATTCTGCAGTGAGCGGTGTTAAACAACAACATTCATACTTTCAGGACAGAGTTGCGTCCCTTGGGCACGCCAGGAACCTATGATTGTGGGTTCGTGTTTCTAGATTTGTCAGCACCATACCCGTACTCATGGGTTTCATCGAAGTGGTAATCGTTTGAGACCTGCCTCACTTCGGGTGTCCTCCCACGTTAAGCTGACACGCCGTGGTATAACTGGAATACTGTTGAAAGCGACGTTAAACCCAACACACTCACTCACTCATTCTTGTGCCTACCCTTTTAAGAGACAGATGCCACATGCAAAATAGTTCCCAAGGGAGGTAACTGGTTTGATCGTGAATCTATCCATGCACGCAATGAAAGGAGATAACTTCGTGTGTTTCATGCTTCGAATAATGATGTAGATAGACAGGTGTATATTTCCGCATGGGCGTATCACAATACATTTGTCTGATCAAATTGTCTCAAACACAAGCTCAAGGGATATTTGAAGAAAATTCACACTCTGCGCCAAGTGCAATCTCATTAAAATGAAACCTCAGTACTCGCTATCGCTCGACAAAGATCTGAGGACTACTTTGACCGACCAATAAACTAACATGAGCCAATCAGAAATGGGTTCTCAAACTTTAAAAGGTACCACGGGGTATGGAAAATCTCGTCCGTTTCAAAGGTTTATCCATTGACCGTGAGATTGTTTGTCCTGCTGAACCGGGAGATTGGCGACGATTTTGTCGGAATCAGTTGTAAAGTCCTTAACTGTCGTTCGGAATGGTTCGTTTTAACCCTCGGAGATTGCGTGTTTAGAAAACAAACACATTCGGGCTTTCACTTTCGCGATCTCGTAAATATATACCATCAACGCCATGGTATAACAATATATTTACAACAGGAAACCTTATACCATGCCGGCGCTTATACAATAGAGCACAATGTATGAATATCAATTTTCTGTCAGAATTTTGTATTGTTGGAATCATAACGTAATAATTAAGGTACAAACAAAACTTCTACGCCAGAGAATAATCAGTCTCGATTATCCGCTGAAACAGATTTCACTGGACGTAAAAGGCAAAATAGGGGTGATAATTACATGAATGGATAACTGAAATTCAGTGATGACACCAGGTGTTTGCGAAAAGAGTTGCATGTCCTGTTCTGCCAGTAGCACCCGCCACTTGTACAATTTGGGTGTATGTGTTTGTTCTCTGACGCCGCACAGCATTAATCCTGCCATGCGCCGGCGGCCTGAAAACAAACCAGACAATCAAGTGATCGATGGACCAGAAAGATTTAATGAGATTGCCCTGGGTAAAAACGTGTAAACAACAGATCTGTTGTGCTGAGATTTTTTTTTATGTCATAACAACGCATACTAGATTTTCGCCCTATAATACAAATTGGCAAGCGAGATATTTGATAAGCTTCATTTATGGCATGTGATTTCAAATTTCGTTGTCTTCAGGTAGTTTTATTATCTTTTAGTGAGTTTTATGTCATCGATGATGCTTTAAGCAAAGAAATTTGTTTCAGCTGAAAATTACACTTTCTTTCCTCAAATAATTTTCGTACAATGAATGTATTTCACCTAAAATACAACATGTCTGTTCAATTCAAATAATTCAGGGCTGGGTGCACTCCTGATTGCGTACAGATCCAGATGTCATAACACGTTTTCTGACAATGGAATAAAATACAATAGGCCCTCATCGCAATCTGGAAACAAATGATGTTTTGAATTAATTTTATTAAATATTTTTATTTTTTCGTTTCAGGTTGTTCCAGAAATGTAGAGCACTCTTGTGTCAGAGACGGTCTCAGGTTATCCGCTTCTACTTCCTCCTATATGGGACAACGTTCTTCCTCGTTCTACCGCTTCTATGTCTCGATCTTCGTCACTCTGTGTACTACTTCCGGTTGAAGAGCAGCAACCAAGAGGGAATACGTTTGCAACGCGAGAACGATCAACGATTGGCTAAGACTCAACAAATCATACAAATGTATGCAGAGTCCTTATCAAAAAGCAACAAATCAACGCCTTTGTTACATTCAGAAAATATAGACGTTGGAATTACCGTGGTGACGGTCTCGAGGAACCGTCGATACAAGGGAGGTTATCAGCCTCGGCATCTCACACAAGGTCTAGGTCGTTTGGTTGATTTGATAAATACCTCCAACACGGAACTGAAATACGGAATATTTTTGTGCAATGTTGACGGTGACCCGGACAGTTATCATGAAGCAAAGTCATTGAATTCAACTTTTACAACGTTTCAGAAATTTAAAGAAAAGCAGACAAAGTTTGTTGATATTTTTGAAAAAGAGAAACTTGATTATATTTATTGCATTGAAGAGACACTAAAACGAAATGCGTCCAATGTATTTATGATCGAGGACGATTCCTACCCACATTACGATTTGTTTATTGTCCTTGAAAAAGTTCTAAAGTATGATAAACAAAAGGAAAAACTGAAGACTAATAATGTGACTTTCATAAAGTTTTATCATCCAGAACGGTTGCTAGGATACATAAGTTTAGAAATGGAGAGACTTCCTGAATTGATTGCATTCGGTGCTGTGTTTGGAACAGTATTAACCGTCCTTGTTATGTTTTGCCTGTTTAAGGAAAGTGACCAAAATGCACAATTGTTGTGGCTATTAAATGTCATATACTTTTCCCTTTTGGCTTTGGCAATTGGTCGTGTGAATTTAATAGAACTGCGCAGGTTTTCTGCGCACATGTACCAATTCACCCCATCGCCATCATGCTGTACCCAAGCGATGCTTTTTCCGCAAGATGGTGCAATGAGTATGGTAAAACATCTTAAAGAGGTTACATGTAAAACGGGGTATGGGAAAGATACGGCTTTGGAGGAGATTCGAAGGAGAGGACACTACAAGGCTTTGATGGTGCAGCCAAACTTGTTTATACACACCGGTCTTTTTTCCACAGTTCGACAAAGAATGGTAAACCCGTACCTTCTTGGGAAATAATAAATGCTGAATGAACAATTCACACATAAGCATAATCATTGGATCTACCTATATTTTGTCGAATGTTGAGGGATACCGAGCTGCAGACTGGGGAAATAATTTGTGCTCTTGCTGATTAAATATTAAATTCTGTTTCCCCTTTTTTATTGTTCCGGGTTTTTATTGTTACGTGTACACATAACATAAGATTGATGTGAAGCATCAACACGGTGCCAAAATCAATGATGTGTGTTGAAAAGACAATCTTTGTGTTCTAAACGTGGAAATATTGTTCAAAACCTAGGGAAACTCGGTCTCGGTGGAATGAATGGCTGCAATTTTTCAAGGTCAATTTCAAATTTCAATGTCATTCATTCATTATAGTTACTAGTACAAAAGAAAAATGTGTACAATAAAGTTAGTGTTTGGTTTTGGTTAAAATGACCACTTTCTCCATCTGGTATCGAAAACGAGGCTTGGAGTGCACAGCTCCATGAAGGGAGATTCGAATTCGAACCCACGATCAAAGGATTTTGGTACGCCTATTGGACGCAGTTCCCCAAAGCGAATTGCGACGCCTTCTACGACTGGGCCGCACGAGTCCCTGCCGTTACGAAGACGCTTTGCAACAGGAAATGCTGTTAGAGCAGCAGGGTCAAGTGCATTGGAAGCACGGTAATCTCAACGTCAAAGTGTTTGTTTGTTTGTTGTTTAACGCCGCACTCAGCAATATTCCAGCTATATGACATTGAGATTACAATGAGACTGGCGCTACGATACCTTTAATTCTGGACCCGTGAAGATTCCGGGGTAGAATAGGTTTTCAGCAACCCATGCTTGCCTTAAAAAGTGACTATGCTTGTCGTAAAAGGCGACTAACGGGATCGGGTGGTCAGGCTCGCTGACTTGGTTGATGCATGTCATCGATCCCAATTGCGTGGATCGATGCTCATGATATCAATCACTGGATTTTCTGGTCCAGACTCGATTATTTACAGACCGCCGTCATATAGCTGGAATATTGCTGAGTGCGGCGTTAAACAACAACAACAACAACAACTTTTAATTCTGAATAAATCTGTCACATTCACTGTTAGGTTGTGTACCAACCACTATTACAAAATAAACTTAGTTTTATTCGATTTTTCCATAACCGGTGAGGAAGCATGAATAACTGTATTTGTTAACATCATTTTTGAGTGCCCTCTCTTTATAAGAAATACCCGTAAAATATATTCATAATTTATATTTTACAGGAGCTTCTTACACTATTTGCTCAGAGTAGCCTACCATTGATCCACAAATCGTTGGATAGGTTGTTTTTTGGTTAACGCCTGTAAGTCTGTAAATAACCGAGTCTTGACCAGATAATCCAGTGATTGACACCATGAGCATCGATCCACGCAATTGGGATACAATGACATGTATCAACCAAGTCAGAGAACCCGACCACCCGATCCCGTTCGTCCCTCTGATGACAAGCATGGGTTGCTAAGGACCTATTCTGACCCGGATCTTCACGGGTTCAATGTCATTATAATGACCATGCGGACGTTACATAACGACAATGGGGTTGAGCATTGATTCTGTCGTGAGGAAACCAAAAACTCTGCCAGCTGTAAAATAAAATAACTATTCAACAAGACCGATAGATGACTACTTACTACAAGAAATCGATTATCCTTAGTTTCAGCCTTGAACACGGATAATAATTTCGACACAAACATTTCGAAATCGTGCGTGCGCACCTCTGTGCATCGTCTTGCATATCATCTCTTGTGTTCAGAGGCAATGTCAAATTGAATGCCAATCGGGGTCTCTTCTGTTCACAGAGAAGTTACGTTTCTACCGAAGATATTAGATTAACCGTGTACGAAGTGCTATGTTGTGGAACTTTACACATTCGGTAGCATGTGGTTGGGGAAGAATTGCTTTTGAAAGGATCCACATCGCTGTACATAATAAGCTTGGATTCTTCATTGTTCTTTGCGATTTATCGCATACGGGATTAAGATCTACAGCTCAATGCAATTTTGGTTATAGTCTGTCTGACTAAAGTGGACAAGTGCGGCTGACACTCTTCTCAAAGTGAATACTGCTCAATTAGTTTCTTAGTATGTGGGTACTTAATACATGAACACTTTTAAGGTGACTTTCAGAAAGGAAATGTCATATTAATATGATAATTATTGTGCGTGAAGGGTGTCAGTGTTACCATGTGTGTGAATTATCTTGAGAGGACTGGACAAACTATAACAGCATACCCCTTAGGTGCACTTTGAATACTAAATTCTATAGTTTCAATACAAAATTTTACACCACTTCCTACCTCTAATTAAATATTATTAAAAATGGGATATGTAGACAGCAATACATGTAGCCTTTGTGACACACACATAGAAACGACTGAACATTTGTTTTGGGATTGCAACAAAGTGAGAACGATCTGGACGGCACTGGAAAGTTGGCTAAATGCCAGAGCACAATTCAAAGGAAATATCACAAACGACATCTTTTGCTTGGATACCAATTCAGAAGTAATGACCCATTAAATCTTATAATTATTCTTTGCAAACAACTTATTGAAAGGCACAAAGCATATTCCATCGTTCCAGATCTTCCAGAATAAACTGAAGCAGTATTACTTCATCTCCAAATGTACGGCACTTATGAGCGGGAATTTAGACAGATTCTATGAATATTGGTCATCATGCCATACACTTGTTTGTAACATGGGAGTAACTGTTTTTTATGCTTTGTAAAAACAATATAAAATGCCACAAATAAAAAAAGTTTTAAAAAATGTGTTTGAATTATCTGTACTGGTCACGCACTTATTGCAATAATGATGAATGTTCAAATAAATGTTCGTTCTTTTGTTAACCCGCGGGTTGGACAGAATTTAGTTTATAATGGTCATAGATTTACAATCGAGAACAGATGATCTGCTTCGAGACATGCCCATCCTACTACAGAGTACGTACAGGCCAGTCTGTACCGGTCCAGATCCCAACACGCCCCACCATTTCCTCCCCCCTCATCTGATATGCAGCTACCACCAGTCTGCACTCAAACCTCTGATGACAAAACCTTTCTCCTGGACCAAGACGAGAAGATGCTCATAATGAATTATTACCGATAAGACAGCGACGGTACCTTTGCCATCTGCCCTGCCGTCTACAAAGAAGTGTATGCCATGCCTCCGTCAGCGACAATATGTTACCACTAGTCTATGGTCTTCTTCCTGACAAAGCCACGCGTGTGATACCCGTGTGCAACGCGTGTCACACTCATTAGAGGGGGAACAAACTTTTGACCAAAGGAGGACCTATGGGCATGTCTAGCTGAACCTGGAGGTGGTAACAAGGAGATAACTTTTTGATTTCCTGACGAAAAATGTTAATACACATTTTATTATATGTACTTGCTGATGTTTCATTTTTAGATGTGATTACATGGTGTCTTGCGATGGTGTTAAGAGAATACATGATCCTGTTACATGTTATTGCTATTCAAATGCTTTTTTGTGATTTGACATATAGCGTCTGTAGTACGACTTTCAGTGATCATGTTTATGAGGTTTGGTGGAGCGTTGTTTTTATTGGACCCTAATTACTTTATGATGGTTGGGCCTCTTCGTCTCAGCTCCATAGCCGTGACGCTGGGAAAGGGCAGCATTTAATTAATGAGAGTAGAATATATCCTGGAAGATACACTTGAGGGAGAGGGCTCTACTAATTACCGTACCACAGGAAGAGACCGTAGACGTGAGCACGGGGTTGTGTGTAAGATGGCCGTCGCATAATGGCCGCCAGGAGTGGTAAACATTGAGCTAAAGCAGTGTTTTTTTCACGGGCCTGTTGAATACATTTCCAGCGCTGCTGTCCATATATCTTCTACTTGATCCTGGATACATCATTTTGGCATTTACATTATAATATTTTTCAACGTACATTAATGGTTTACTAGTCATATATTTTAGAGTATTTGTCAATTGTGTTGAACGTACAAGCAATAATTGTAATTTGTGGTGACATCTAAATTTAAACGTCTTATTTAAAACGCTAAGTAAGTACGATAGTAAATAATAGTATTCAAATTGCATTAAAATACAATGATAACAAGATTCATATGTAACCCTAAAGCCTGTGTTCCACATTCATAGCCATGAGGACACCTACTGACTAAACAAAGGGAAGAAGCTTTCCCTTACATATTTGTAGAGACATCATCTGAATATGAATATATATGCAAATGTTACGAAACTGTACCTATCTTCACGAATTATTAAAAAATGGGCATAAAGTTCACGGAGACGAAAGCTATAGATACAATACCATATTTTATTTTTTAAATGATAAAGTACATCATTTGATAATGAATTCAGTTATTGATATCTAAAAACCGATTTTCAATATTAATAAACATTTCATGATAAAACACAATCAAATTTGTGATATAAATTCATTCTTTAGTATCCATAAATGAATTATTGATATCATATAACGAATAAATAGTAAAAAGGCGCCCTATATATTGTTCTTTGTGGACTGTATTAAGTAACGCATTTGCATCACGGCTATAATGTTAATTGCTAGTCTTTTTTCTGCACCATCATTTCATCATTTCTTTCATCTTATGAAAAACTGTTTAAAAATGGCAACTTATAATTAACCAAGGTTATAATACTTACCCGACCTGCGTTTATTTATCTTTCTGTCATTATTATCGTTAACATGTGTCTACTTTTAAGTGTATATACTTATGTCATACATCGTACTGGTTAAGGAATGACACATCATCGCGAGATATATGTACTCCATACACATGATTCTATAGCACAGAAAATCGTTACCCCGAGTTACTGTGTAACGGTTCACCCCTTGTTTTCAGGGTTTATGCACGCCAGAGCGACATTGGGGTGACAATAGTGTCCTCCCAAAACTTCTATATGCCAAAACTTCTACAGCTTAAAACAACAAAGTTTATGGTCCACTGCACCACTAATCTCCTGGCTATTACCTTTTGGGCATTGATTGGAACAGTCCAATTAATTAAGTGTACAACATACAACAAAACAAAACAATTTGAAGACAATGAAGACAATTTACTCATATAGCACTGGTATAAATAAATAGTACACACAACAGCATCAAGGAACT